TGCCGTCACCACGTCTGGTGATGACATGTTGGAATATAAAAAAAATAGTGACATTTGCGTTTTTACATCGTTTCGTAATCTTACAGTCACATTCTGGACCAGGTACAACTCAGTCAACTACTACATGGCTATGGAGAACTTCATTTGATGTTCCAAAGTCTGAAACAACGGTAGGTTCAGGCACAACTGAAATCGGAGAGGTACGTAAATGACTTATTACTGTTACAGGTAATTACTGTTACTACTATTAGAGGCAAGTGTCTATTTGATTTTTTGTTGATTTTATTAGTTTGCACATTAAACAAAACAGACAGTAATAATACAAAACAAGGATAAAAACAGGTGCAGGAGGAGGGTAGAAGCATGGAATGCTTATACTAGGCCCTCCTCCTCTAAACTATACAAAATTAAATATAATAAATAAATGGAAATAATACAATAGAAAATGGAAAGAATACACACGATGGTCAGATTTGGGCCCAAAAGTCCCAATCCGCTACTATGGAGATCGAATCCCCCGAACCCGCGAATCTTGTTCGATATGACGTCATTCGAATAGAGCGGGCGTTCGATCTGGGGTTACCCGCGGTCATTTACAGTAAAGCCGCTACAACCGGCTACTTCAAGCCCCTTTTTACTTGGGAACCACGGAACAGGAAAAATCCACCTTTCCACAAATATGAACCGTTTTCAAAACATTACATCTATGCCGTGATTTCATTGTGGATATGTAACATGTAACGAAGCTACTGCCGTCATCGTGGGTGACCTTGAAGGTCAGAATTCTTGTTGACGCTGTTATAAAATCCAGGTCCCCATATCCAAGTGTCATAGCACGCGTGCAAACATGGTATTTTAACCACTCCCAAAAATCGCTCAAATTATCTCATTGAGGGCTTGTTTGGAAGAGGAACGATTTCCGCAGATTTCTGTCTTAGGGATTTTTTAAATATGGCCGCGATTATGAATTATCGGTATTTAAAGTTAAAACACTGCGTTTTTAGCTCTTCTGTTGACTGTAAGTCGAGTTTTAGTTAAAAAATTAAAAAATCCTAAGACAGAAAGTTTAAATTTACTGTAATATTTCTAAAAATCCAAAAATCTAACCTTACTTTTAATTTTCGGGGCCTCTTAAAATCAGTTGTTTGGTTCTCGTGAACCCTATTTGAAATCCGAAATTGATCTCATTTGGAAGCAAATGTACACAAAGTGGAGCAAAGGCAGTACAAGAATAACATTTGAGGTAAAAAAATCACTTATTACATTTTATTTTGACGAGTATTTACTGTCCAATTACTTTTGTTTATTTTCAAATTTTACCCGTTGCCCCCGGGCCGGCCTGGGACTCCCGCGCGGCCACGTTCGAACACGTTCTGTAACCCGATACCTCCCTAGTAATGCGACTTTTAGCCTAGCAACCGACCGCCGTGACAATAAGGATAATCAAATAATATACGGTAGAAATTAATGAGGTAATGTAAGTTATAAATACAGTGCAATAATGATAATCATAATAATTAGTATGAGTTGAAATAATAGAAAACACTAAATGAAACTACTACAGGGGGCTAAGTTCTTTTATCAGATGGTTTTTCAGAGCTTGTTTGAATGAGAGAAAAGACAAGGTAGGACTCTTTAGGGCTGGAGTAAGTTCATTCCATGTGTCTATCATTTTTTAACCAAAGGTGTCGTCAAACTTCACATCTAAGCATAGCATGTCAACAACCACGGCACAGGCAGAAATGAATGGAGTAAGACCATCATATCGCCTATGTAACAGTGTTATACTGTACCCATGTTACATAGTCACGACACGATTGCGCCCCCCCCCCCCACCTGATCACAGAGCTTAAATTCATTTAACCCTAAACAGTACACCTGGGGTCCGCGCGGACCCCAGCACTATATATTCTGTAATATCTTTTTTGTTTCTAAAGTATTTTTTTCTGAAATTTTAGGTAATTGTCACCCACAAAGTTGTCTCTTAATACAGTGCAGAAAACTCCGTTTCTACCATTTATAAAAAAAATTATATCTGATTTTCTTTTGGGGTCCGCGCGGACCCCAGCCGGCTTTCGATCATAATGGATACACTGGCGTTCTTATACATTACCTTATTTCGGTTTTTTTTATGTTTTTATGCATTCATCGTATGTCTACCAAGTTTTCAGAGAATGGTGTAGTAATAGAATTAAATATTAATAACTTTGGTGTAATTATGACGTCATATGACGTCAGAGATAATAATATTGTCCGCCATATTGGATTTTGACCAATGACGTCATCAAATTAGCATATTCTATGCATATTAAATGATTTAACTTATATTTAATTATGTAAGATGTTATTAATGTTGGAAAAGAAGTGTAATTTTATATAAAACTCAGAAAATTTTTATGTTTAAACCAAAATTACTTCTATTTTCAAAAAACTACCCGGTGCCATGGCAACACAAAAAACATCAACTTACTAGTATAAAACTAATATGAACTTTTTTCCAGAGACATTTTAGGAAAGGTCTCCAAATTTGATACTTCTAGCGCAAGCCGTTTAGCCGCTATCTGAGATCAAAGTTGGGCCTCAAAAGCCCCTTCAGTCTGAAATGGGTTTAAAAATCGGGTATTTCTTCTTGTCTTCTTTTCTTCACCAAAAAATAGAAAAAGTTCAAAATGTATGATTTTTGTATGTAATGTGGACACAGAGGTTCCCACATCAGTTTGCAAAACAATTGAGCTGGTAGCATGTTAATAATTTCTAAAAATTAGCAAAAAACTGCTCTGGGGTCCGCGCGGACCCCAGGTGTACAGATTAATCAGTCCGGGAAGGTGTTCTGTTGAGGGTTAAACTGTTCTCCAACTCATAAATTTCACTCACCGGAATTTTTGACTGAATCACTCAGTCTTCCTCAGCTATCTGACCAAAATGCTGTGGACATGTGATTTTTCCCACGTGTGGCGTCAGCAAAGGGTCAAAGGTTGTCTGAAGTCGATATCGCCCCCAGTCCCGGTTGAGCGATGGTTGAAGTACCCTGACCTTTTGCTGACGTCACACGTGGGAAAAATCACGTGTCCACAGCATTTGGGTCAGAAAGCTGAGGAAGACTGGGTGATTCAGTCAAAAATTCCGGTGAGTGAAATTTATGAGTTGGAGAACAGTTTAAATTTTTCATAATGTAATTTACCAACTCAGATTAACTTTCATGCTCATTTAGGAACTGCAAAGTCCCAACAGGATCTCATGATTCATTTTCACGAGGAACTTTAGCACCGTAATTGAAGGAATATGAACAGTTCTTAGATGTTTGATGTTGGTTGTTTTTTTCTCTTTTGCTTTTGACATAGTGCTTTTTACATCGGAATAAAATCAGAGCATTCCCAAGATCGCAACATCCAAACCCGGAAATTCTGTTGCTGTACCAAGAAACAAACACTACAATTTGTTTATGTCTTGGATAGCTGACAACATACCGAATTTCACAAAAATTCATTCATAGCCTTTTGAGTTGCGCTATTGAACAAAACATCACAAGGAACTAACCCTACCGAAACAGCTTCCAGGCTTCTAACAAAGAAGATGTCACATATTGATTCAAAATATTCTATAACAATAACTAGAGTTCCACGATCTCATACCTTCGCCAAATGATGTTAGCTTTTATAAATAAGAACTTATATACAATGTATTCATCCCCCTGATTATGCAAATAGGATCTGCAATTGCATGAATTATATCTGTTGATCATAATCTCCACCAACAGTCTTATTTTAACAAAGAATGCCATTATAGCATTTCCTCATATTATGCAAATGAGGTCCTTATTTGAATAAGTTATGTTAAAATATGTTCACCTTCACTAAACTTCAAACACCCCAAGTATAAAATTCCAGGCAGTTACCACTATGAATTATAACATTTTCTCATTAATTATGCAAATTAAGTCTTCATTTGCATAATCAATATCTGCCTGTGTTTCTCTCGTTGTTAATAACATATGTCGCAAGCTTGAACTTCCTATCATGGAATGCAGCTGATTAATAGAATTTCCTCATTAATTATGCAAATTACATCCATATTTGCATAATTGTAATATCATTATGTCAAGCATTACTCAAGCTACCTACATACCAAAAATCATGATGATCCATCAATCGGTTCTTGAGTTATCCTCCTTTAAACATTTGTCCTTTAAACCCCCCTGCAGTTCCAGAGCAAGCTGCTAGGGGGCCCAAACTCACGTCACTTCTTTCCCAGCAAAAGAGCTACCTGCCATCTAAATTTCGTCACCCTAGCTTGTCTAGATCATGAGATATCAAAACCGGAAGTTCAGCTGCAGTACAAGCCGCCAGGGGACCCAAAATCTAATCAGTTCGAGCTCTCATCAAGACCTACCCACCTACCAAATATCAAGATAATCCATCTAAGCTTTCTCGAGTTATGCTGTTGACAGACAGACAGACACACACACACACACACGGCCACGAAAACATAACCTTCTCCAATTCTTGGCGAAGGTAATAATGGTAATAATAATCAAAAATCAACTGCAGGGATTTACTCATCAATCGATCGTTGTATTCTAGGTAGTTTTAATGATTTATTCCCTAGGTATGGAGGTCAAACCAGTCAAGGCAACAAAATCCTTTGATGTCGAGGGGCTTCCACTCAAAGTCGCTGTGTCTACAAGTGGGAGAATTGCCGTAATGTTCACAGGCCGAAGAGTCGGCATCTATGACAGTGAGGGTATCTTCATCATGTATTTCTTAACATATATGAGAAAAAGACGGGGAGAGACAATTCGCATTTTCCCCCACGTGCACGATGTTTCGTTTGGTACCCTCAACAACAACGACGTGTGGATTGTAGGCGGGAATAGTCTGTCCCACTATGTCGCGCTGTATGGTTGTGCTGGACGCTTCAAATACAGTTTTGCAATTCCTCGCATCTCGGAACCTCGTACCCTTGCCCTGAACAGATTGTCCACTCGCGCCATTGTGACAGAGACGGTCAAACATCGCGGGACGGTGAAAGTCTACGGGTTGAACGGGATGCTTGAGCGAAGTTTTGGGAGGCGGCAGGGTTTGATGCACCCGACAGGCATCACAGTGGACAGCGAGGACTCTATTCTAGTGTTGGACTACTCCACTGCCTACATCTACGTGTATCGCGACAATGGACAGTTCATGTTCAAGTTTGCAGGGAAGGGGACCAACAACGGCCGGTTGAGCCTCCCCCTTGACATCTGTACGGACAGTTCTCGTCACATCATCGTGGCTGACTCGGGAAACAGGCGGGTGGAGATGTTCACAAGCCGCGGGGAGTTTATCCGGCACATCGCTACTGATGTCGAGCCTCTGAGCATCGCCGTTGGTCCAGACGGACAGATAGTCCTGGCTGAACCGTTGAAAAAGAAAGTGACTATTTTGACAAACTATTGAATTCTTGTAAGACCACAGCAAGTAATTTTTATGGATGACATCAGCGCGCGCATTAATTTTCGCCTGATTTTGGAAAAAAAAAGAAACCTTGTTGCCTTCTGACAGTGGTCAACATGCCGAAAATGGCAAAGATGTCTGTTGCCATGCCGGAAGGTGGATGGCAGATAACTATGAAGAGAGGAGACAAGAAAAGGCTCTGATTTAATGTTTGGTTTCTTACTTTGATGCAGTGATATGCTGTCTTTGTATATGTGATGTTCCCAATGAATCAAAACAATGAATCATAATCAGTACAATGATTGAGTCAAAATTTTAAAATGTTTTCGCCCGCTCGCATTAGATTTTGGAGTCTGCGGAGGATGTCATCCATAGAACTGACTTCCTATGACCTAAGATTAGTTTCTATGTGATTTTGTCCACTCTTTGTGTGAGATGGAAAGTTAAAATTCCATTGTAATGTGATTGCTGTAGACTGATAGAAACAATCAAGTTTCTTCATCTTTTACTTTACGGATCACCCTTTTGCAGTTTTGACACTAATTGTAAAATTATGAGCTTTACTCAGAATTTCATCATCAAAAGTGGTCGTTTTGTATCTGATTATTCTTTTCGACTTCAATTGTTCTACTTGTGTCCTATCAGTAATTCTAAGAGGTAGGGGTTGGAACCTGCGCTCGTCGAATTCCATTTACTATTTATTTGGCTATGTAAATTGGTATATCTTTGTTTATTCATTTGTGTAGACGGCGCCGTTAATATAAGCTCCATGGAACTTGAGTGCGGTGTCATCTTGTCTGTATTTATGATTTTTGATGTGTTAATACAAAAAAAATCGTCGTTTCTGTTTATTCTTGTCAAACATGTTGACGAGTAAATGGAATGGCTTTCTGTACCACAAGCACATGCTTAGTGTCACTTAAACTTTTTGACATGGCCTATCGGTCGGCAATAGAAAAATGTACTGTTTCGTTCTTGTGTCCTTGTTTCTGCGAAATGACACAACACAGGTATACAGATACAAGTCAAGTCAATCTTTATTGCACAACAATTGTAACGGGTACAATGCATGGCAAACTCTTCAGTACTACATATCTAGCTAAGATCTACTCTCACGTCTACAGTAATGCCTACATGTTCTGTATCTAAAATAACATTATACTTTTTCAAAAAGGTAATATAGTACATGTATATATATGGAACATGGCTTACATGATAATGTATATGTCTTGGGTTCTATGGCTGTATAAGCTAGAGTGTTGGTTAAGTCCGATATAATATCATGATTCCTTTTAACTAAAGCGTTGGATATATACTGGCCTATGTACAGGGAAGTTTCGTCGGAACATGATATGAGTAGAGTAAAAGTATCTGAGATTGTTACGTGTGCGCAATAAATATGAACAAGTTGTGGACAGTTACCACCACTGAAAAAAGTCAGTAGATTGTAAATTTCTTCCACTTTTTGAGCCATAATGGCTTAGGCTGATTTATGCGACACATACCGTAGACGGTAGACTAATATACGCTTCAAATATATTTTGAGAAATGTGGACGCAATTCAATTTTCAGATTCTTCAGATTATTTCAAGCTACAATAACGATATCCTAGACCACTTTCTGTTGGACCAATGAAATCTTTGTTTGGATAAAAGTAATAGGTGCAGTTCAAAACAAATTTATCAAATTTTACATGATTAATACGTCTGGACGCAATCCATGTACTTATATACAAGGCTTATGCATACAATTGACCTGCTTCAACTGTTATATATATCACTTACCAGTAAATACAACAGCAAATGCTTAAATTTTTTGGAATATTGGAAGTTTTAACAGTAGGGCAAGTAGTAAGAAGTGGCGAGTCGTTTTGAGCAGTAGAGAGAGGTAGAAGCTGTGATTTGTCTCTTCTAGGAAGAAGAAAACAAAATTGTGGTAAAACGTGAACAATCTGTCGCGATGTCTGTAGTAGAGGGTCCGTCTAATGGTGAAGACACTCACGCCCCAGACGATAGCGTGGAAGAAATGGAGAATTCTCACTGCTCCACACAGACAGATGGATATGGTGACGGCTTCATCGTGCCATATCTCACTGCTTACCACCTGGGGAATCTGGATGCAGAAAATCCAGGGGAGATCGCGTCGTCTCAACAGGAGCCAAGGTGTCATCATGATGCTTCTTTCTCGAAAGGTGAGATTTCCAATGTGTAATTTTATTGCAAGAGTTCAGATTGACATTGCATGTTTTTACAAAAAAATGTGGTAAAATGCAATACATATATAGACTAAAATCCCATACTGGGTTATTTCAAGAGTTGGAATTTGGCCTCAGGGTTGCAGCGAGCTTGACAAATACAATTGATTCAATGTATACATTCAATAGCGTGAGAGTTTGTAGCAAATACAACTAACAATTTACATACTGCACCCAAAATAGATATTTAATTCATTTTTTTTCTATTTAGTAGGTGGAACAGACGACGACAACATCGAGCCATATCTTGTTTCTTACCACTTCGAAGTCACCCACTGCGGAAGTGCCAGTGGCCCGGTTCAGAATGAAAAGGAGGCATCGTTGAGTGAAGATCACACCGACATGTCCAGACGCTTTAAACCTCCTTTAAGAAACGGTATGTTTATTGTTTATTTATTGTTTATTACCAGTTTGCATCATTATCATAACTCTTTTCTTGACTGTAGCTTTTTTTGATTTCAATTGTTCTTTAAAAAACTGTCTTTGCATGCTTCAAGAACATAATTCTTAGTTTCTTTCTAAGAAAAATTATTACAGAGTAGTGTTCACTGACGGGAACACCAAAACAGCAAATCAGGGCATTTTTATTCATTGAATAATTGTACAATAAACGTACGATATTTTGGTAGATATTATCATTTCCTGGTACAACTAAACCAAAAATTACCTGATTTGCATAACAAGAAACAATAAACCTTAGGAGTATGTTATTGGAAAGGTTAACACCATTTAGCGAAGGTATGGGGTCGCGGAACTCAAGTTCCGATAGCACATTAACCCCGGTACCACTACAATCTGATTTGTTTGTTTTCCTTGTTTTTTCAATCATTTGTTTTAATCGTTAATTTTTATGTTAATTATCTAATCAGTTTATTTCTGTAACAGCAACCTGAATTATACGACTTTTGTTTAATTTCTTTTCGTAGATGTAAAAACTAGTTTACACACTTTAGTTATTATTTCTGTGTCTTGATTTTGTTTAATTAATCAATTATTTCATTGTTTAATTTTAATGTTTTATTCAAATATGTTTTGTCATGTATCATAGTTACCTTTGTTTGGGGCAGGCCCTTTAAAAAAAACCACCTAGGTTTCTTGCCTACCCCGCATATTCTCTTATTGTTATTGTTTGATTATGTAACTTTTTTATACGTGCAAATAATAAATAAATAAATAAACAAAATTAGAAATACATTGGGTTATGATGCAATTTACAGTGTTTATGTCTTATAGAAGCGCTAAGAAGAAGGTCCAACGGCATCCATGAAGACACTTTACAAGATGAAGAGTCAACTCAAACCAAGGAGGATCATGATACTAGCATTTCGCAAGACCCAAAAGACCACTACTATTCATCCATTGGTGACCACGACTATACCTACATCGACAACACATCGATAGCGGGTAGACAACATGTAAAGGAAGAGAGAGGTTCGGATTCCGTCACTCATGGTCTAGACCCATCCCAAACAACCGAGCCCATGAAAAGCACTTTACAACATGAAGAACATGGGGGTAAACTATATTTATTTATTTAAATTGCCAACATTGCAATACCCTGGAAGGCCCTGGCAGCTGCAGATTATGTCGGGCCCCACATTATGAAATACATACATACATACACACATCATTGCACAATAAAGTCACAAAACACAGAAATCTCTTATACCTAAAATCCATAACACTAGGCAAATGACAGTATAAACAAGTAACAATATAACTTAGTCTGGTAGGAGGCCAGAGGTCATTCAGATATATAATATTTCTATATTTACAGTATTGTAGGAATAGATGGAAGGGCTAAAAGTTAGAAACGGTTCGTTGATGAAATATACTTCCCAAAATATTTGTAGTTTTATAGTAAATGCATGCATATATGCCCCTTTTGCTGTGATAATACTGGGTAGTTTTCACTTATTTCCAGACTTTGCTGCTGGTACTGTATTAGAAAAAGAGACAAAATCTTTTATTGTCGTATTTCTGTTTATTCTACAAGTAGAAAGCTAATATTGACCTACATGTGTATTACGGCAGATAATATTACTTGACATGTAAGATGATATAGCAAATGTAACGTTGCGAGGTAAATCTATCTAGCAATATTTGCTTATTGCGTGATTTAGGTGAAATAGAGAATGAGCTTCACTTCATATTTTATTGCCCTTTTTATGACAATCTTCGCCAAGCACTATTTGAGAAAATGTACATAAAGGAACCCAATATCATGTGGGAAAGAGACGAAAAAAAACTAAACTGATTATTTAATGAGTGTGTTTTTGAAATTGCATTTTTTATTTATCAAGCTTGGAAAAAGCGTAAAACCTTCATTTATTCATAAGTTTCTCCTTTTGTTTTCTTTTTCCCGGATTGGTTCATATACACATGTATCTAAGTTCATTTTACTTTATGTACTTCCGAGTTGCATTTATGTACTCTGGACAATTTGAGTTGACACTTGTGACTCTTATGTACCGATTATGTTATGTTCAACTTTGTATAAGCTATTTAATTTCATTTGATGTTTCCTTTTGACTCGGACTTGGATTTATGTTTATATGATTTCTGTACATTTGTTTATGTTCATGTTTATGTTTTGGTGTCTTATAAGCCCATATGGACTGGGCGACAAAAGTCGCAAGACACGTAAATAAAAATTCATTCATTCATTCATTCATTCATTCATTCATTCATTCATTCATTTATTCATTCATTCATTCATTCATTCATTCATTCATTCATTCATTCATTCATTCATTCTATCTAGCAGCCATGCTGGTCTGCTGGCTTCGGCGTATCAAAAATGTGGCAACCGCCATCTTTGTCGCCGCCTTGATCGTCGTTGGGCTGTTGCTGGTGACGGGGGTACTCCCTCCTGTCATGGATAAGCACGCTGTAGGTTTACCGACTTTGCCCTTTGCTTTCCAGGGGTGCCAGAGTATACAGTGCAATTTTACGGTATACAGTGCAAGTTTACTAGTATACAGTGCAATTTTACGGAATACAGTGCAATTTTACTAATGACGTAACCTGGGCCCAGCTTTCCAGGGACGCCGCTGACAGAGCGTACTCACATCTTTCTCTGTTTTTCGAGCGAATTTGGACCTTTCTCATAGACCTTTAGTCAAATCACTACATGCTACACACAGGGCATGTTACTGCACAGGGATCATTTTGAATAAGGTCAAAAATGACAGTATTTGAGTCAGCGGCGTCCGCCATCTTGAAAATGAGAAAGAAGGGAAAGCCGGGTTAAAGTCACATGATTCAACGTCACTAATAAAATTGCACTGTATTCCGTAAAATTGCACTGTATTCTAATACGATTGCACTGTATTCCGTAAAATTGCACTGTATACTAATACGATTGCACTGTATTCTGTAAAATTGCACTGTATACTAGTAAAATTGCACTGTATACTCTGGCACCCCTGCTTTCGCTTTAACTTAGACTAGTCATAGATCATAGGTCTAAAAAAAGCACATATAATATCTGAATATAAACTAATTGAAAGTTAGATTGCTCTGTTAGAATCCTTTTGGAACTTTGTTCTTTTGCCATCATCTGGGGTTCTTTTATAGTGCATTCTTTCTGCGATACACGGCTTGTGAATGCAGAAAACCTGTGTGCATCTGTTCCTACCTGTTGCACTAAAAAAAACACTACAGAATTACAAAATTTGGGTGAGTCCAATTTTTGTGTTGGAAATTACAGTTAAATCTCGCTCATAATTACAGAGTTATTGTTGTAAAGTCGCTACTTGCAAACCTTTGAGTACATCTATCCTGCCATTAGTTTTGTTATGTTTGTAGATTGATCCTAAGTTACATAGTTTTCTTACAAATCGGTACACATGATTTTTTTTCCTCTGACGAACTTTCGGCGGCTGCTATTCTGCGTTATTCTGTGATGTTTAAAACCCTTGTACTGAGGAGCACAACAATTGTTGTTCTGCACATACAGTACCATCTATATAACACTCTGTATAGGTACGATTTGGGGGTATTTCTCGTGCAACGCATCGCACCACAGCGAAACGTAACGAATGCGGAAGTAACTATGCCACTGCAGGGCAAAAAAAAAATTGGGGGTCTATGATCTAATTAAGACACGAAATTATCGAAAGATATTGTGAAAAAATAGAAATGTCAGCAGGGCAAGGGTTAAAACAGGAAACCAACTTCCGAAACGGCAGAGGAAAAGAATAAAATTTCGTTCCTAAGAAAACTAAGTTGTACATATGCCCACATCCAGGTTGGAAATGTAGCATGTACATCATGATAGTGACATGTGGGGTCGTGTTGTGTAGCGGAACCTAGAGGTCCCGGGTTCGAGTCCTGACATGCCACCGATTTTGTGCTCTCGGGAAAGGCACTTTACACGACGTCACTTAGCTCAGGTGTAAATGAGTATTGTCCTGTTATGTATTTGTCCCCTGTGTTGGTGACGGCATTAATATAAATCTCCATTATCCTATGTACAAAATGATATTCCTCCCATCAACTTATTTGGCGCACCTAGCACAGCAGAAATTCATGACATAATTAACAATCTTCAAAATGCTGCCCCTGGTAAGGATGAAATTAATGCTACACTTTTAAAACAGATTAATGCAGAAATCCTAGAACCCATTACTCATGTCTTTAAAATTTCTTTAGAGACAGGAAAAGTGCCCTCCGACTTAAAAGTAGCCAAGGTAATCCCGCTTTTTAAAGCAGGTGACCCATGTGTGTTTACAAATTATCGACCAATTTCTATTTTACCTGCACTCTCAAAAATTCTAGAAAAAATAGTGTATAACAGAATCTTGAAGCACCTTGAAAATAACAACATTTTATACACTCACCAATACGGATTCCGTAAAAACCATTCAACACATATGGCCCTACTACAACTAGTAAATAAAATCACCTCAGCTTTGGATAAAAATGAATTCAGTATTGGTATTTTTCTCGATTTATCGAAAGCTTTCGATACCGTGGACCATAACATATTACTTAGCAAACTAAACTCCTACGGCTTTAAAGGTACAGCCCTTCAATGGTTAAAAGATTATTTGTCCGATAGAATGCAGTATGTTTCGAGTAATAACTTCACTTCATCCCTGAAATCAGTAACATGCGGAGTCCCACAAGGATCTATACTCGGTCCTCTTTTGTTCTTAATTTATGTTAACGACCTTGCCCTGGTATCAGTCAAACTCTTCGCTCTATTATTTGCCGATGATACTAATCTTTTCTTTTCTCACAATAATTTTCATACACTAATAACAATCGTTAATGAAGAGCTGTGCAAACTAAACGAATGGTTTAAGTCAAATAAGCTGTCTCTTAACATAGATAAAACGAACTTCATTATCTTCACAGGTAGAAATAAGAAATACGACAAAGAAAGGGCTACGATATACATAGACAATAAACTAATCAAACAGGTATGTAACACACGATTTCTAGGAGTCCTTATTGATGAGAAACTCACATGGAAGTTCCATATTGACCTTATTTGTAAACAAATCTATAAGAATATTGGTATAATAAGAAAAGTTGCAAGTTGCCTATCACGTAAAATATTTATCACTCTGTACTATACTTTGATTTATCCCTACTTAACATATTGTAATATAGTCTGGGCTAGTACGTACACTACTTCAATCCGTCCGCTGCATCAGCTGCAGAAGCGCTTTGTTAGGATCGCGTCTAATGTTCCATTTTTTGCTAACTCTGCGGTTCTATTTTACAACTTGAAAAGTTTAACAGTGTATGACATAAATAAACTCCAAACAGCAATTTTCGTCCACAAAGTCTTACACAAAAGTTCACAATTACCAGTTCAATTCAAGGACATATTTCAATACAACTCAGATATCCACAGTTACAGTACCAGAAAGCAAAATGATTTAAGGCCAATCCTGACAAAATCAAATATGAAACAGTTCACGATAATGTTTAGAGGTCCGTTAATTTGGAACAGTATAAGTCATTCTCAGCAGAATTGCCAATCCCTTTCAACTTTTAAACGACATCTAAAAACTGACCTAATAGAGAAGCCATCTACCACTTCCTGATTTGCTTTTGTTTTCCTTGTTTTCTTATGCTACGATATTTTCCTTGTGTTAATATTGGTTTCTTATGTTTTTCTTACTCATATTAACTTATGATTTGACTATTGGAAATGTATTTTTTGTTGAATACGATATGTTTTGATTGTCTTACTTTATTGTTTAGACATTTAGTTTGCCGTGTTAACTTTATATTATCTTGTTTGAGTTAATTTTCTCTTGTTTGTCCCTTAAGACATGCATGTTAATTGTTAACGTAAATAATGTATGTAAATATGAGATCGTTAACAGGATTTGGGAGAGCCCACTAGATAAACCTCCTGGTTTCTTGGGCTCTCCAGCATGTATTTGATTGTACATAATTTCTTTTTATACCATTACTTTTTTTATGTGCGAAAGAACAATAAACAAACAATAAACAATAAGTTGAAAAAACTTGAGTGTGTCGTCACCACGTCTGGTGATTACATGTTGGAATATAAAAAAATAGTGACATTTGCGTTTTTACATCGTTTCGTAATCTTACAGTCACATTCTGGACCAGGTACAACTCAGTCAACTACTACATGGCTAAGGAGATCTTCATTTGATGTTCCAAAGTCGGAAACAACGGTAGGTTCAGGCACAACTGAAATCGGAGAGGTGCGTAAATGACTTATTACTGTTACAGGTAATTACTGTTACTACTATTAGAGGCAAGTGTCTATTTGATTTTTTTGTTGTTGATTTCATTAGTTTGCACATTAAGCAAAACAGACAATAATAATACAAAACAAGGATAAAACAGGTGCAGGAGGAGGGGAGAAGCATGGAATGCTTATACAAGGCCCTCCTCCTCTAAACTATACAAAATTAAATATAATCACTAAATGGAAATAATACACCAGAAAATGGAAATAATACAATAAGGATAATCAAATAATATACGGTAGAAATTAATGAGGTAATGTAAGTTAAAAATACAGTGCAATAATGATAATGTCTGATAATAATTAGTATGAGTTGAAATAATAGAAAACACTAAATGAAACTACTACAGGGGGCTAGGTTCGTTTATCAGATGTTTTTTCAGAGCTTGTTTGAATGAGAGAAAAGACAAGGTAGGACTCTTTAGGGCTGGAGTAAGTTCATTCCATGTGTCTATCATTTTTTTTACCAAAGGTGTCGTCAAACTCCAGCTCTAAGCATAGCATGTCAACAACCACGGCACAGACAGAAATGAATGGAGGTAAGACCATCATATCGCCTATGTAACAGTGTTATACTGTACCCCATGTTACATAGTCATGACACGATTGCACCCTCCCATCTGCTCAGAAAGCTTGTAGCTGTTTACCTCAAAGCATTAAAATTCATTACCTCAATAAAAAATTAAGGTATTGTTTTTGGCGCGTCTGTCTCTCTGTGTGTGTGTGTGTGTGTGTGTGTGTGTGTGTGTGTGTTTCCGCACATTTAGCTTCAGGACGCCTTTATGGATTGTGATGATATTTGGTATGCTGGTAGGTCTTAGGAAGCCAAAGGTAAAGGTTAAATATGGGCCTCCTGGTGGCTGACCATGGTACTGCAGCAGAACATTCGGTTTTTGTATCTTTCGCGAGGCAGGGAAAACAGATGTGCGGGTTATGCAACAAAACACCAGCACACGTGTGGAGGCATCGCGCCTGATTAATGAGGTTCTCCCTCTGGAATAGGCTAAATGTGTCATGTCTATTACAGTCTGACCTATTTCAGGCCAAAGATTTGAAAACAAAAACCTGTGTTATTTTGTTCTGTACTGTAGTGTAGTGTACTGTGTAAAAACATTTACAAAAACTCATACATTTCATGGAGGTATGAGATCTCCGAATTCTTGTTTAGGAAGTGCAAATTCCCAACAGGATCTCATGATTCATTTTCTCAAGTAACGTTAGCACCGTAATTGAAGGAACAGTTCTTAGATGTTTGATGTTGGTTGTTTTTTCTCTTTTGCTTTTGACATAGTGCTTTTTACATCGGAATAAAATCAGAGTATTCCCAAGATCGCAACATCCAAACCCGGAAATTCTGTTGCTGTACCAAAAAACAAACACTACAATTTGTTTATGTCTTGGATAGCTAACAACATACCGAATTTCACAAAAATTCATTCATAGCCTTTTGAGTTGCGCTATTGAACAAAACATCACAACGAACTAACCCTACCGAAACAGCTTCCAGGCTTCTAACAAAGAAGATGTCACATATTGATTCAAAATATTCTATAACAATAATAATGGTAATAATAATCCAAAAATCAACTGCAGGGATTTACTCATCAATCGATCGTTGTATTCTAGGTAGTTTTAATGATTTATTCCCTAGGTATTGAGGTCAAACCAGTCAAGGCAACAAAATCCTTTGATGTCGAGGGGCATCCACTCAAAGTCACTGTGTCTACAAGTGGGAGGATAGCCGTAATGTTCACAGGTCGAAGAGTCGGCATCTATGACAGTGAGGGTATCTTCATCATGTATTTCTTAACATATATGAGAAAAAGACGGGGAGAGACAATTCGCATTTTCCCCCACGATGTTTCGTTTGGTACCCTCAACAACAACGACGTTTGGATTGTAGGCGGGAATAAGCTGTCCCACTATATCGCGCTGTATGATTGTAGTGGACGCTTTAAATACAGTTTTGCAATTCCTCGCATCTCGGAACCTCGTAGACTTGCCCTGAACAGATTGTCCAATCGCGCCATTGTGACAGAGACGGTCGAACATCGCGGGGCGGTGAAAGTCTTCGGTTTAAACGGGATGCTTGAGCGAAGTTTTGGGAGGCGGCAGGGTTTGATGCACCCGACAGGCATCACAGAGGACAGCGAGGACTCTATCCTAGTGTTAGACTCCTCCACTGCCTACATCTACGTGTTTCGCGACAATGGACAGTTCATGTTCAAGTTTGCAGGAAACGGCACCAACAACGGCCGATTGAGCCACCCCCTTGACATCTGTACGGACAGTTCTCGTCACATCATCGTGGCTGACTCGGGAAACAGGCGGGTGGAGATGTTCACAAGCCGCGGGGAATTTATCCGGCACATCGCTACTGATGTCGAGCCTCTGAGCATTGCCGCTGGTCCAGACGGACAGTTAGTCCTAACTGAAGCGTTGAACAAAAAAGTGACCATTTTGACGAACTATTGAATTCTTGTAAGATTAGTTATATTTATCGAAAACATATTGTTTTTGCTCTTTTTTTTATCTTCTTCTTCTTCTCCAAACAAATAAGGTCAATGACCTGAACCAGACGTTTGTCACCATGGTAACTAGTGTTGGGTAACATCATGTTGCAATTTTACAGCAGGAGGGATTTAGACTGCTGTCACCATATATATGAATGTGTTTGTGTAAGAATCAACAGAGCAGACCATATGCAAAGGTATTGAATTCTTGTAAGGCCACAGCAAGTAATTTTTATGGATGACATCAGCGCGCGCATTAATTGTCGCCTGATTTTGGAAAAAAAGAAACCTTGTTGCCTTCTGACAGTGGTCAACATGCCAAAAATGGCAAATATGTCTGTTGCCATGCCGGAAGGTGGATGGCAGATAACTATGAAGAGAAGAGACAAGAAAAGGCTCTGATTTAATGTTTGGTTTCTTACTTTGATGCAGTGATATGCTGACTTTGTATATGTGATGTTCCCAATGAATCAAAACCATTTGTACAATGATTGAGTCAAAATTTTAAAATGTAGGAACTTTGTTTTTTCGCCCGCTCGCATTAGATTTGGAGTCTGCGGAGGATGTCATCCATAAAACTTACTTCCTGTGGCGTAAGATTAGTTTCTTTGTGATTTTGTCCACTCTTCGTGTGAGATGGAAAACTTCAAATTCCATTGTAACGTGATTGTTGTAGACTGATAGAAATAATCAAGGTTCTTCATCTTTTACATTACGGATCATCCTTTTGCAGTTTTGAGAGTAATTGTAAAATTATGAGCTTTACTCAGAACTTCATTATCAAAAATGGTCGTTTTGTATCCGATTGATCTTTTCGACTTCAATTATTCTACCTGTGTCCTATCAGTAATTCTAAGGGATAGGGGTTGGGACTTGCGCTCGTCGAATTCAATTTACTATTCATTTGGCTAATAGTATGTAATTAGTATATTTTTCCACGTAATTGGTATATCTTTGTTTATTCATTTTGTGTAGACGGCGCCGTTAATATTAGTTCCACGGAACTTGAGTGCGGCGTCATCTTGTCTGTATTTATGTTTTTTTGATGTCTTAATTTAAAAAAAAAATCGTCGTTTCTGTTTATTCTTGTCAAGCATGTTGACGAGTAAATGGAATGGCTTTCTGAACTAATAGCACATGCTTAGTGTCACTCAGACTTTTGACATGGCCTATCGGTCGGCAATAGAAACATTTATTGTTCATTCGTTCTTGTGTCCTTGTTTCTGCGAAATGACACAACACAGGTCTTCTACAAGTATACAGATACAAGTCAAGTCAATCAAGTCAATCTTTATTGCACAACAATTGTAACAGGTACAATGTATGGCAAACTCTTCAGTACTACATATCTGACTAACATCTACTCTCACGTCTACAGTAATACCTACAAGTTCTGTATCGAAAATAACATTATACTTTTTCAAAAAGATAATATAGTACATGTATATATATATGGAACATGGCTTACATGATAATGTATTTGTCTTGGGTTCTATGGCTGTGTAAGCTAGAGTGTTGGTTGAGTCCGATATAATATGATTCCTTTTAACTAAAGTGTTGGATATATACTGGCCTATGTACAGGGAAGTTTCGTCGGAACATGACATGAGTAGACTAAAAGTATCTGAGATTGTTACGTGTGCGCAATAAATATGAACAAGTTGTGGACAGTTGCCACTACTGAAAAAAGTCAGTAGATTGTAAATTTGTTCCTCTTTTTGAGCCATAATGGCTTAGGCTGATTTATGCGACACATACCGTAGACGGTAGACTAATATACGCTTAAAATATATTTTGAGAAATGTGGACGCAATTCAATTTTGAGATTAGTCAGATTATTTCAAGCTACAATAACGAAATCCTAGCCCACTTTTTGTTAGACTAATGACGTCTTCGGGTTGGATAAAAGTAATAGGTGCAGTTTTATCCAATTTTACATGGTTGATACGTCTGGACGCAATACATGTACTTATATAAAGGACTTATACAAGTACTTATATAAGGGATATATACAGGGTGACAAAGGATGTACAATGTATCTTAAACTTAATATTTAGAACTCAAGAAAATATGATAAAGAAGAAAAACGGCACAAATATAACCCTTTTCTAGTATCGACTTAGTATCACAGTTAGCCTGGAAATAGAATTACTAGTATGAGCAAGACGTTAGTATTAAACCTTGAAGAAAAGAGAGCCGGACACTTTGTGACCGTCAGCTGGGGTGAGCTAGTGACCAACGATCGCTAGATGGCGTTTCAGTACCAAGGCTATGCTATACATTTGCTACATTCACCCCCATGTACACGGTGCGGTGTTTCGCCGTAACTGTATTTTTTAAATAAATGTTTTTTTTATTGGCTAAACAGTACCCGTGCAGCCATTATACAGGGTATCACATAATAATCAATACAAATCACAACAATCAAATAACACACATAATGCACATATCTGTCGCAAGGGTCTGTGCGGCTGCCTCAATACGGTGACCTCAATACGACTTTCCCCAACCGAAGTTAGGTACCCATTCATACCTGGGTGGAGTGAGGAAAGTCGTGTTAAGTGCCTTTCCCAAGGACACAACGTCGGGGCGCATGTTCAGACTTGTCCCGGGTACAACTCGGGATCGAACCCGGGTCTCCCCGGTTCATAGTCGAACGCTCTACCACTACGCCACCCGACGCCACACAAAACTGGTGCTATGAGTAAACATATTTAAGCAGGCTCCTTGACTTTGAGAGAAATTAAGACTAGTTTTCTTTATTTGGTGGAGAAACGGATCGCGATAAGGCCACACTGATTCAACTTAACATGATTCAATTGTATGGGTGACATCCTCTGAAGACCCCCCCCCCCAAAAAAAAAACAGTCCCGCTCCCAAAAAATGTCCTCCAAAAAAGTCCCGCTCTCAAAAATATTTTTCTACCGGTGCAATATCTCAATTGCTAGAGTGCTCGCTTTGTAACCGGGAGGTCGTGAGTTCAAACCCCGGCAGGGTCATACCAAAGACTTTAAAAATGGTACACGCTTCTTTCTCTGCTTAGCACTCAGCACATATGAAAAAGAGTATGGGAAGGTCAAACACACAGCACTACCAGCAGACCAGCCCCCTGCTGTAGTGCAACTGCACAACTGTGTGTCGCCCAAGGGCTACACACAGTTGTGCTACACAAATGGGCTACACAAATGGGCTACACAGGGCTACACAAATGGATATGGGCACCACCCTACGCTTGGCATAAGGGCACGGGAGACCCTTCCTTTCCTTTCCTACATTTACGAGCTGGACATGGGCATATGAACATGCCGTTTCACACAAGGGCTACGGAAATGGAGATGGGCACCACCCTACGCTAGGCATAAGAGCACGGGAGACCTTCTTCTTCCCACAAAATGCTGCTAAACTACATACAGGAATGCAAAGCTGGTATTGTGAATTTGTGGCAGTAGCAGTACATGACTACTTTTACGACAAGCCGTCACATGCTGGCCTTTTGTGGCAACAAATGACAAAACATGCAAGACAAATGACAAAACATGACAAAACATGCAAGACTGAGGAAATTTACTTTGAAAATACAGTTTTACCGCCCTAGGGCTGAAATCGCTTTGGGTGCCTTTTTTTTTATATATTCGAACCTCTAATCACAAGACGTGGTGACGGTACGCTCAAGTTTTTTTAACTTATATTAATGCCACCACCAACACGGGACAAACACATGACAGGACAATACTCATTTTCATGATCACCTGAGCGTAGTGAGGAAAGTCGTGTAAAGTGCCTTTTCCCAGGGCACAAGATCGGTGGCATGTCAGGACTCGAACCCGGGACCTCTCGGTTCCGAGTCGAGCACTCTGCCGCTTCGCCACACGACCCCACTTGGCCTTTAATACCGACCACGCTCCAACGTCTGGAAGCAAAATCCGTCTGAGCTCAAAATATAATCCAATCAACTGACCAGCCTTAGACTCATTCCCGGAACCTCCAGGGACGCAGAAAATTAGTCTGTCTCGTTGCTATGGCAACAGAGGATACAAACACGTCAATAACTTTCTGGCGGGCTTGGCGAGTTTTGACATTTAGGTTCTAAAAGCATATATAGATCTATCCACCAAAATAAACGAAGGACAGAAAAATTACACATCTTATATTACGTAGCATATAGATCTTTGAGCTTTTAAAACTGCAGAAACAAGCCCCAAGATTAGTCCTTTATTTACTGGGTGGTACCCTACAAATCAGCCCAGGGCCCTTCCAGTAACCATGTTCCGTCAGAATTTTGGGTATTTTTGGCCCATGAGGGTCAATCTACATTGGGATAGTGTGGTTTCAACCTGATATGTAGATAAATGACTAGAATATTGGCTCTGAAAAATTGGGGTTTCAAGCGCTAAAAACTGCAGGCTGAATGTTACCGCTATCTTCGTCCTGGATACTAGACGTATGTACACTATACAAGAAAATTTTAGACAGTGACACAGAACACAATGTACTGGCAACTTTCATGTGGAGAGAAATGTCTATACTTATCTTTAATGTACAAAAACCTGTGAAGTTCTGTAAAGGCCTTCCGCGTGCACAGCTACAGAACAACATGGGAGCTTTATTCAAATTAGGTATTCATAAAACTTCTCTTGTCGAAAATATCTATTCCATATTGGATGTCTTACGCACGTTGGGAGGGTTTCGGATTGTATACAAGTGTGGTGATGGCTGCAACACACAAATAAAAGTACAGAACTTAGGTTTTAAATTTGTGCAGCGAAGATAAGGATAGCAATTGCTTCCCTTTACGTGAAAGTTATCTGTATCTGTATCTGTATCTGTATAGCCGATATAACCGCCCTTCGGCGTAACACACCAGCTTCTGTATCTGTATAGCTGGTATAACCGCCCTTCGGCGTAACACACCAGCTTCTGTATCTGTATAGCCGGTATAACCGCCCTTCGGCGTAACACACCAGCTTCTGTATCGGTATAGCCGGTATAACCGCCCTTCGGCGTAACACACCAGCTTCTGTATCTGTATAGCCGGTATAACCGCCCTTCGGCGTAACCACCAGCTTCGCAGGCACGCGGCGCGGCGGCAGCTAGCTATATTACACCGAACGGCTTGTTACACTCGATCTTTGCACATTCGATTGCAGGAGTTGTTTAAAGCTTTCTAGTGATGATGCCCCAGCTGTACTTGGTGGCAACGAGTTCCAGTCTAAGATAGTTCTGGGGAAATACGAGTTTTTGAATACCTCAATTCTTGGTTGATAACTGATATTTGAAGGCATGACTGTTTCTTGTTCTTTTCTGGGCTGGTATCAGATACTTAGTGGTTGGTACGTCCACCAGTTTATTAGCCATTTTGTACATTATGCACAGTCTGGACATTCTACGTCTGTCTTCCAGTGACCCCCACTGTAGGTTTCTTTTCATTTCCGTTACACTAGCGCCCCTTTGATAGTTGTTCGTGCAGAATCTTAGTTCGTTATAAGTACATCGTTAGAAAGTTATAAGTACACTGTGTTCTATACAATTGGCTGATAAAACTCCTCTTGTCGAAAATATCTTGTACGTGCGTCTGGTGTCAAGGACACAACATGCAGGCTACTAGGTTTTTATGATAGCTCATAAAATTCTGTCTGTTGCCCCTGCACAGGTACACAATAGAATCAGGGACTCGGAAGGAATTTTCTATTGTGTGTTTCCTCCCAGCTTTGGGTACTATCCAGACCACATCCACCCAAAGTTGGGCAGAGACACAAAAGAAAATTTCTTCCGAGTCCCTGATTCTATTGTGTATCTGTGTATGAGCAACTGGCGGTAAACGTAAATATTTTATGAGCTGTCACAAACCTAGTAGCCTACATGATGTGTCCTTGAAACTAGACGCACACGTGTACAAGATATTTTCGACAATACAAGAGTAGTTTTATCAGCCAATTACTGTAATTCTCTTTATGTTCACGGTATCAAAAGTGCACGGTCTGAGAAAAATGGAACATTTTGAGGAACTATATATATTCACGGTGGTGACCTGTGCAGGAAAAAGAAAGTCCAGGAATTATTTGTTAACTGTAATGATAAGTTCGCAGTACAGAAGTGGCAATGAAAACAGTAAACATAACAGTACAGTGAAAAAAAATCAGGAATTACAGTATACAGAACACAGTGTATTTGTAACTTTTACTTGGAGGGAAGCAATTTCTACCCGTATCTTCGATGCACAAAACCTAGTAAGTTCTGTACTTTTATTTGCGTGTTGCAGTTATCACCACACTTGTATACAATCCCTCCCAACGTGCGTAAGACATCCAATACGGAATACATTGCTTTCAAAAGCCCCATATCCTTTGTGTATCCTCATGTGCATGGGCAGTTTGCCACTTAGAGTTGGTAAAGATGAAATAAAGACATAAGACACGAAAATCAGAAAAAAAAACACAGTTTAACGGTGATCATTTTGTGACTTGTAACGTGGTTAAAACTATTGGTCTCCTAGTCTCTATCAGACTTACAACGCCGGCTATATATAGGAGAATATAATTGCTAAGGGAGTTTGGCCGCCTTGTAGGTTTGACAGGCCACGGAGGGAAAGAAACTACCTCCCCGTGGCCGGACTCTCTTGGCCAATTTTACTCACTTTTTTTGCCGAATTCTACGATCCGTATTCCCGTAGAAAGGCCTGTTGGAGGCTACCTGTCTCCTGTCATTAGTGGGCTGCTTTGTCGTGCTGGGTTGATGACCGCTGGTGACGTTTGAACCAACATCACCGAGCAACAAATTTACAGCTAGCAGGCACCACGACAACGGCCTAAACAAACCCATAAAAACAGCCACTATCTCAGTGACCAGGCGTGAGACCAGGAGACAGAGGACCTTCGGAGCGCCATGGAGTTTGGCGGCTTGTGGATCCTCCTGGCAGCTTACATCGTCCAAATGGACCAGTGTACGTGTGAACGAATGGAATACGGTAAGTGCAAAACTGTACAACTCAATCGATTGCCTGCACCTTCTCGATCGCATACAAAAGAGAATTTGAGTGGCCATAGGCTATCCTCTGGCCTCCAAGTTAGACCCCCTTTCCCATAGACGAAATGTTGCCTCTCTATCCCTCTTTTACAGATATTGTCATGGTCATTGCTCTGCAGAACTCACCCAACTAGTTCCACCACTTAGAACTTTTAATCGTTCCACTAGGTTCTCCACTAGCTCACACAAGTTCACCGTCCCAATTCCTTGTTCGAAATCTTTTTACAGTGATAGTTTCTTTCCCCGTACGGCCAAGCTTTGGAATTCCCTCCCTGACAAGTGTTTTCCACCAACCTACAATCTACAGGCTTTCAAATCAAACGTTCACCGCCATCTCTTGACATAGCCATGTTTCTCTCATCTTTCTAGTTCAATGCCGAGAAGTGGTCGTATAGACCTTGCTTGGAACCACTCCGTTAACAGTCTTTTGTACCCCGTGCGCTGAAGCTATTGTCTAAGACCTGATCGTTGTATATACTGATTTTATGATGTTATTCGTCTCTGGTAATACTGATTTTGAATGTTTTAACTGTTGTATTCTTAATATGATAAGTTTTTATGATGTATTTTATCGCTAATGATACAAATATATGTAGGATTTTATACTATCTATTTGTAATAACTGGGCGCAAGATGTAAATACTCGACATATTTCATGCACTTATTGTGACATGATATTCAATAAAATCCAAATCTAAATCTTCATGTTGTTCATGTAGAACGGGACCTGTGCAGTAGTGCCACAGTGGTGGTGGGGACCAAGCACTACACCGTCGTAGACAACGCTATGGTGACGTTCGACCAAGCGGTGTCCACCTGCGCTAGCCTTGGGGGCCGGCTGCCATCCACCCGATACCGCGCTTACTTCGAAGCTTACAGCAGGCTAATGAGAGACGTAAAGTATATTCCAGATTCAATATATGGATTTCTTGTTATTTTCGCAGTTAAAAACAACTGATCATGAATTGTAAACCAATTTACAAAACATCGGTACATAAAAACTACAGGTTTGCAATATAATATAAGTTATATAGGCGCCCGATTAACAAACCAATAAAAATACATGTTTCATACATTAAAAATTTCCCGGACTACATTTGATACAGAACACTGTACCAAAAAGACAACAGTAAGGGGTTCAGTCCATAGTTATTGAGGAGTTGGACCATGAACGGTAAAGGCGAGTTCTTACATGTATATCTGTTGGTTCGTGCTCTCGGACAGTCTAGCATCTCACTAATTCTAGCTAGTACTACTGCCAGTTATTTGTGATCTCTGTGGAGGTAGCCAGTGTCTGTATCCTCTAGTATCCTTGATCTTTTCACGCAAACGTCTTTCACATCAGTCAGCCAAATGAGTAAGGCATTGAAACAGATATTTGAAATTCGGAAAAAGCATGATTGAAACAGTTTGTTACGTCTCAGCACGCCGAGACATGTCACTTCTCTTATTTTGACACATTTGGAAAAATATTAATGAAGTCGCTCTATATTGTTTTATCCTATCATAAGTAGAAAAGGCACATGTACAGGAACTATAGACCAAGATGACACAAAGCCCAGGGAACAAAGCAAAAGAGAAAATAGAATATAGTTACGTTATGAGGAAGTTGAATCTATTTAACCAAGAAAATGTCAAGAGAAGAGGGAGAAACACGAGGTAAACAATATATTCCATCCATAGTTGTAAAAATATCTAGAATTTTGAAATGACGTTGTTTTTACTAACTGTGAAGTTTATTAAAGGCATCCAGTACAGTTTTTAGGGCTTGGGAACCCGAATTTTCAAAGTCAATATTCTAGTTGTTTATCTACATACTGAGTTGAAACCACACTATCCCAGTATATATTGCCCCTCCTGGAGCAAACGTTCCCAAAATTCTGACGGAAAATGGTTACTAGAAGGGCCTTTGCTGATTTGTGGGGTACCTCCCAGAAAATAAAGGACTCATCGTGGGGCTTGTTTCTGCAGTTGTAAAAGCCCAAAGTATGAAATACTGACTCAAATGTGCTAATGTAAAGCAGTATGTGTGAATATGACAAAGATTGCCTTATTCAGAACATATCCATTTTGCTGCTCTGAAATCGCATTGTATGCATTTAAACAAACAAACAAGTACAAAGAATTGAGGCATTTGTAACAATAAAAAGTTATAACAATAGCGACCCCCTTGCTGACTTGGAATGGACTCTATTTTTATGAGAACAAGATGCTACAGACATTGTATTTCTGTAGCCTCCACCAGGCCTTTCTACGGGAATAAGGATCGTAGAATTCGGCAAAAAAAAAAGAGTAAAATTGGCCAAGAAAGTCCGGCCACAAGAAAGTTTGGCCACGGGGAGGTAGTTTCTTTCCCACCGAAGGAGGCCAATCAAACCCACAAGGCGACCAAACTCCCCTGGCAAATATTCTCCTGTATATAGCCAGCGTAGTTAGTCTGGTAGAGACTAATATTTATGGTAGTCCACCGTTTCGCATCTCATCTATTATTCAAACCGTTAAACGTCTTGTACATTGCACATGTGATTGGGAGTGACAGTTTTCTGACAGTTTGACATGACAAAAGACTGGTTGCAAGGACATTCCAGTTACAGCTCCATTAGTATGATTGAATGTAAAGCAGTCAGCCATGTTTTCATTTTATATTTTTGTGTTGAATGTCCAAATGCATTTTGCAAAATGTACATTTTCTTATAATTTCCTTAAGAAAGCTGTCTTAAGTAAAGGTCCTACTCTGTGTCATTCTTGTTCCAAAATTTAAATTAAGTTTCAGGATGTAGCAT